CCCGACCGCCCGGACCGGCTCCCGGAGCGCGCGGGCCCGGCCGCGGCCCCTCGCTCGGCCGCCCTCCCGCGTCGCTGGGCTCCTTTCTCTCCCAGGCTTCTTGCCCTGTTTTTTCCCCCCTCTACCTTTGTCTTTCTCATTTAAATTTCCCTCCTAATCGTCTTTCCTCCTTGCTCTCTTTCGTTTCTTTTAGTTCCCCCTCTGTTCTGCCCGACTTTTCTCTCCCCACCTCCTTGGTTTCTCCATCCTTTGCCTCTTTTCAGCCTCCTCTTCCCCTCTTATTTCTAGATGCCCTGCTCGCTATTCCTGGCTTTTTAAAAAAAGAAGAATAATAAAAACCCCAGAAGCCTTTCTCTCAAACTGAAAAAAAAAACTCCAACAACCTCTTTACTTTTTAACTTAAACCTTCCCTCATATCGTCTTGTCTTCTTGCGCTCTAATTTTCCCCCTTCTCCTTTTCCTGTCCTCTGTTGCTTTTTCCTTCGGCCTGTTCACCCCTTTCTTCCTTCTGGGTTCCCGATCCTCTGACATTCTCCTCACCTCACCAACTATCTTCCTGCTTTTCCCAGCTCCCTGCGCCCTCTGCCCACCTTTTCTCTGTACCCTCTTTCCTCTCCTTTCCTGTACCCTCTGGCTCTCTTCCTGGGATGTCTCTCTCGCTGTGGGCCCTAGACTGGTGGTGGCCAGGCGCAGCCGGACAGGCCTGGGGTGGGATGGCCGCTCTTCCACTCTGCCCCGGCGTCACAGCCAGGACCCTCGAGTCCACCTACTGCAGCGATACTTTCTTCACCCACTCTGTGTCCCAACCTTTGCAGACCCGGTTGGCTCGGACCTCACAGCAGCCGCCGCCGCAGGGGTCTGCAGGGCAGGGCTGTGTAGATGCGCCCAAGGAGCCTCACCTTCCATGTCGCGAGTGACGGTGCTGAAGTGCATCCCGGCCTGGGATCCTGGCAGCCGGAGAAGCTTCGCCAGATCGGAGTACCCGGGGCCCGGGGCCAGCGCCTGGTGGGCGGTGCGCTCAGCGGCCTCGGCTGCAACCAGAGAGGCGATGCTGAACGCGCTGGCCCGGGGAGACAGCGGGCTCCGCGCGTCCATAGGCGCCGGGCGGCCTGGCCGGCGCCGCCTCCGACTGCGTGCGCCCAGCCGCACCGCGCCCGGCCCAGCCCACGGGGCCGGGGGCGGGGGCCCGCGGTGCCACTCAACCACCGCCGGCCCCAGACCCAGGGGAATATGGCGTCACAGCCCCCCACTCGGGTCCGGTGGAAGCCGAGGGGCCCGGACGGGTGGAGCACCCTGGGAGCTGCGCTCCCTCCTGCTTTCCAAGCTCCCTGCCCCGGACCTCCGCGCCCAGCGCCCCTCGAACATTCCCCACCAAGCTGCTCCCCGCCAAGGCCAGTGGCTTCCTCTCTGCGACCAAGACACCGTCGACTTTTGCAGCCCCAGGAAGCGAAGCAGTTACATCGGGAGCGCCCAGCTCGGCCCGCGGTGGCGAGGCATCGAAGAGGCACTGCGGAGCAGCCTGGGTCCTGCCCGGCCCCTGCCCTCGGCCCCTCCCGCCGCCGCCTCCCCGGCTGCCCCTGCACCTGGGCGAGGAGAGGGCGGCTCGGGCTCCGGCCACGGCCACGGCCACGGCCACGGCCACGGGTAGACAGCCCCAGGGCCGCGTCGTCCGTTCCTGCACGCGGTGGCACAGGCCCCCCGCCCAGCAAACGGCCCCTGGTTCCCTTCGGTTGGCTCACTGTGGCGGCCAGGACCCCAAGCCGATGGACGCCGCCCAGGCCGCGCAGCCCGGGAGCCCGAGCGTCACGCGCACCCGCGCGCGCCACCCGCCTCTGGCCAGGACGCTTATACATCCGGAGGGTGGGCAGTGCCCGCGCCTCCGACCTCCCAGCGCACCGGCCGGGCGCAGGGAGGGCCGGGGGCGGGGCCTGGACCAGCGGAGGGAGCCGAGGACACGTCGGAGAAGTTCAGGCCGCCAGGTCGTGTGCTGTCCCTTGCAGGCCCGGCAGAGCCTGAGAAGGGCCGAGGTGCCCAGCCAGGCCCCGCAGAACGAGGGGAGGCCTCTGGGACTCCAGGGTCTGACTAGGTCTGTGCCTCCCCTCGCATCTACTACTTCTTAGGACCCTTCTCTGACCAGTTTAGCGTGACCGTGGCCTTCCTAGGGACTAGGCCTCCCAGAAACCTCCCTGGCCTTGTGTCTTATGCTCCTCTGCGGGTGAATGCAGTTGCAGAAATGTGGGAGGCCAGCCTACTTCCCACTGGTCTGGACAACCTGAAGGCCTCAGATTTTAGTCTGGAAGCAGGAGCCGGCTGGAGAGCAGGGAGGCCAGGCCCTGAGGAAGGGACCAGCTAACAGCATGAGGTGCAGGAGAGTGTGAAGCAGGTGTGTGTCCTCTGTGAGCTATGGTGGAGCTGCCAGTGAGCAGATCCCGGGGTTGTGGTCCTGCCTGAGGAAGGGGACAATCTACCAGGGCAGCTCAAGGACCTGGAGCGGTCTTAACAGTA